TTTTACTTCCGGTGAAAACGTAAAACCGCCATTTCTCCGCCAATATTTAGCCTTTATCAAAATTTTTTTTCAGAAATGAGAGATTATTCTTCGACCACTATTTTGACCCAAAAATCCAAATTTGAAGAAAATTGCCGACCCGAAGGTATACTGTAACCTTAAAATAAGGGAGAGGTATTTGTGGTGAGCAGACATTTTTTTTTTGACAGATCTAGATTGTGTTTTGAAGATAGCTTCGATGCGGCCGGAGAGGGCGCCAGAGAACCCACAGGAGAACCCAGAGAACCCGGAGGGGGAGAACTCACCAGATCCGGCCAAAGAATTCATCGTTTGGGTGGTGAATACGGTTTTTCTCGAAGAAAGCATGGAACTGGTCTCCGAAATCACCAAATACCGTTCAAATTTGTCCCGTCGCCTGTCGGATCAGCTACCTAACCTGGCAGGTCAACCGGTCAACATGGCGAGATTTCACGCTGGTTTCAAAGCGGGTTGGCAGGAGTGGAAAAAGAAGGGCGAGCAACACGAGGAATCTTACTTTGTGGCTTTCATGAACTGTGTGAACGTGGACACTAACCCTCCCCCGCGATGAAAAAACAAAGGCAGAGACTATGTCATGACCTTGGACTTTTTTTTATTATGTAACGTTTGTTTTTTAAAAAGAGACGCGTAGTAGGGGTGTTGCTGTTGTTGGCGTCCAGTCCCCTTTTCGGTTGTCAAACCTGTGGAGAAAAAGAAAAAAGAGTTGTGAGTCCAGATGAAATTAAAAGAAAAAGTTATTTATATGGTGGTTGATTTAAATGAGTAGGGTGTAAGGGAATGGCACAAGAATTTGAGCAGTGGGAAAAATGAAAGGGAAGACTTCCGCCCTACCCCCAGCAAAACTGAGGCGGTGGACAAGCCTCGACTACACACTCAACTGGTGACCGTTCTCCACCGCACTAAGCGAAAATGTCATAGGGTGGGTTGACTCCAGAAGAAAACTTTGCATTTTTTATAATCAGGCTGGTTATTAAAATTTTTTTCTGCCCTCCCCTTAGGGCCCCTCCCTTCAAACCCTCATCCGCTTGTGGGTAATGAGTTGCAAGCAACATACTAAGGAGAATGCACTATACCACAAACGGTCAATCCAAGAGATGTGTTCTCGGTTGGGCAAGGAGACCCCTTTTTGGCTGTGATTGGTTGATTTTTGATGAGTAGGCCCCACCCAAGAGAGGTCACTATCAGAGTGAGGCGGTGGACAAGCCTCGACTGCATAGTCACCTGGTGACCGTTGTTTTTTACCACACTAAGTGAAATTTCATAGGGGTGAATTCGGGTCAAAGGCAACAGACTTTGGCAGATTCCCAGCCGTGTGTAAGGGTAATCCTCTTTGATACCTCGAGGTGATGTTCGAAAGTTCATCAAAGAAACTTCGAGTAATGGGGAGACTGGTTATAATTTTTTCTGGTCTGCCTCCTCGTGGCCCCTCCCTTCCAAGATAGACCACACCGCATGTTAGTTCGCTAAAAATATACAATTTTCGAATGCTCTGTAGCTGTCAACCTTCCCAAAAATGACCAGACACCACACAAAATGAGCATGACTTCTTTAAAAAGACCGGAAAAAATATCCAAGTTGTTTTTTTTTTTTCCTAACTGGTCGGAGGCTAGGCGCCCAAAAAAGAACTAAATTGAATTTTTCAAAGAGACCATTTTTGATCTCGGCATCAAAGTTAAAGAATACACCTTCTTGAAATGGACAACTGCAGTTACTCACACAGAACTATAACAGTTCATCAAGTTTAGAGGCAGGAAATCATGGTCGATTTTATTTCTCCTTAATTCTAGTTTCCATTAAGAAGGTATATCAAGCTCGTGGTTTTGGCATAACGTGCAGTGAATTCCAAGGCTGCTCAGTCATGTTGATTGGACAGGACCAGTCAGGAAAAACCAGCCTGAAAAAAACATTCAACCCAGACTCTCCAGTTTACTTGGCAGTAAAAAAACCAGAGATCATCATTTTTTGTTACAAGCCGTCTCTGTTGAACAGTACTATGTTTTAAAATATAAACCACCTAACAATTTCAATGAATGCTGCACCTGTTAGGCTACTTGGTACAATCATGTTGATTGGACAGGACAAGACAGGAAAAACCAGCCTGAAGAAATCTTTGAAAGGAGAAAAAAACATCCATACCAGACTCTCCATTTTACTTGGCAGTAAAAAAAACAGATTATAATTTTTTTGTTATCTGGTTGATGTGTTTAACAACAAGCCATCTCTGTTGAACAGTATTATGTTTTATAATATAAACCACCAAACAATTTTCAATGAAGCACCTGTTAGGCTACTTGGTAGAATGTCCATTTTTTTGGGGGGAAAAAAGGGGCTGGCAGATGCCAACCCACAAGTTCTTCCAGCAGGCTGAAAACATCCAAGCATTTGAGAAGAAGCCTTTTTTCCTAAAGGCTTCCAGCAGACCAAAAAAACATTTTGACCAAGAGCCTTTTTTTCTAAAAGGCTTTGAAGCAAACCTCTCAAAAGGAGCTCAACCAGTCATTCAAAAGAAATTATGTTAAAAAGAGAGTGAGCAAGCCGACCTTTTTTTCCATATTCACGTCATCAAAGAACTCACTGTATAGACTCATTTACAATGAAAAAATCCCAAAGCCTACCATTTGCCAGGGAGATGGGCTTCTTTCCCTAGGAGTATCTGCAGGTGGTCAGAAGAACCTGAAACACCAAGGCTGCTACACTTCGGGAGGTTAGCAAAGACTCTTCAAACACCAAACCCTATTAGCATGAACATGATAGAAGCTAAAATCTTTGGTGGAGAATCTTGTATTGTGGATTCTTATAAACTCAACTACTGGGCTGTTACTGCAACAATGGATGTTGTAATTGGTTAATTTTTAACCTGACCAACAACTGGTCCATTTACATAAGGACCTATATGAAGAGGGGAATTCCACCACAGAATCAGAAGCCAATAATTCTAAGGTGTGTACATTTATATGGTTTTTTGTATTATTTTTCCTTATACTATATTTTCTATGATAGTAACATTTTTTAGTCCATGTAAAAAAATTTGTTGTAGTTGACTGCTAGCTGGGCAGGTATAATACTGCCCAGAGAGACAGAAAAAAGATATAGAAGGCCATGGAGACCAATGAGACAAATGCAAGAAAAGACTTTGATGAAGCTTTTGGCAAAAAAGCCCCCAGATGATGGATTTGGAAACCTCAAGCAACAGGAACTTCGGCATCCGCAACCTAATAATTTCCCCCAGTATCGTAGATGGGAGGATTTAAAAATTTTGGTTTTTTTTGTCCAAGGTGACCAAAAGTACCTACTTCCTTTCCTGCCTGGTTGCTAAAAAGAACAGAGCAGTTAATGTTATTACTATGAAAAATAGCAGGAAAAGTACCTGCTGGAGTATATGAGTCTTTTTTGGCCAGATTGAATTTTCATGTCTTGCTCATGGGTTCTGCTATAGTCTTTGACCAATGAGACAGCTGTCACAAAGACTTTGATGAGCCTTTACTGGCATGTTACACCATGTAAAAATTTGGTTTTTTCTCTCAGTGATGAATTTGGATCAAATGGCCTCAAGCTTACCAAGACAGACTTATTGTGTGAATTCAAAAGCCATCCTCAAGAGGTACATGGCTATTGGAACAAGCCTGTAAAGTAACCACACTAGACCTGAGTCAAGCATTACAGTCATCAGCCTGTAAAAATTTGGTTTTTTTCTCCCAGTGTTGAATTTGGATTCCAATGGCATTGGTGTTGGTGGTGCTACTTCCCTTGCTGAGGCGATGAAAGTCAACACAACACTTACAGTATTGAAATTGTCTTCAACCCATGGCTTAGTCGTCTGTGGTATTGGTCCTCTCAAGTTTTTACATGACTGTACAAAACTATTTTTTGGATCAATGGCCTCAAACTTACCAAGACAGTCGGGTATGTAAATTCAAAAACCATCCTCAAGCAGTACATGGCTAATGGAACCAAAACAAAAAAGGCAGTCTCCTCTAGCAGACCTAACAGTTGACCTCAACACCATCCATCTCACTTGAGCTCAGCTCGATTTGGTTTTTTTTTATAGCTGTGGCAAGGGGGAAAAAATTCCAGCCCAGAAGAAGTTCGACACAAAGAGACGAGATATTTTGGAAGGATTTTATAGTTCATAATCAAGACTGTGATTATTTTGTCGATAGCCAACTACAACTGGACGGATTTATATTTTTTTTATAGTTAGTTATAATTAATTTGTACTAGTCATGGGGCTATGCTGGCAGCTTCCCTATTTAAATATACCACCACCATACATCAAACAAAAGGTCAGAACAACCCTATGAATCTCCATGTAACATATTTTTAAAAGACCAAGTGCTGTACATATTTTGGAAGAGAATACACAATAACGGAATTGAGATTTTTAAAGCTTGCTGCTGGCTCTCTTAGACATTTACATGTGCCTGAAATTACATTTGGTATTCCAGGGCTTGACATTAAAAAATCTTACCCCCTTATCATTCAATTTTGGTAAAAAGATTCCCCTCACAGATGTTTTTAGACCACTGTGCTCACTGGTTCTCAGCGTTACATGAAGGAACAGACGAAAAAATTCCACCTTCTTCGTCGTGACAGCCCCACCAACGACGCCGACCACATCAAACATGCCAGCAATGGCGGCGAACAGTGAGTACTCCACTTTCTGGTAGATGGCCTCGACATACAGAACCACACCATCTACGAGTTCCACGGATGCCTATGGCACGGCTGTCATCCCCGTGATAGGGACCGCTATTCAAATCTCAATCCTGATCGCATACTCCAAGAAATGTACAAAGCTACACAGATCTGAGTTATCATATTTCTAAAAATTTGATGAGAAAAAATATCCAATAGAAGGGCCTGGATCTGAAGAACTAAAGAAACTGATTGATAAACACAGGGCTGACTTGGAAGAAGAGTATCAGGAAGCCAGAAGTGAGCAGGCGACCTTCTTTGTCCAGGTAATGGCC